GTTGAACTGAGCAGGATGGGGGCGGCCTAGCAACTAAGGTTGCTGACTGCATTCTATTTCCTCTCCTGTCCCCTACCTGCACTCTTAAACCTGGTGAGCCTCCTCAATATGAGGTATCCTCTTGAGGGAGCAAATCCCATATCAAGACGCAACTGTAAAATTAAACCCGCAAATGTCCTCCTGCGCTGTCCGAACGCTATCTCTATCAGAAATAGATTCTGGCTTGCGCAAATTTCGCCGCTTCTGTCCTCGAACTGGATGGGCACACCTGGTTAGCCTGGTGAGCCCCCTCAGTCTGTAATGACCTCTTTTCTTGCATTGATCTCCCCCCTAGTAAATAGACAGTCTAAGTGGTCTCCTGACCACTTCGTGAGTCCCCCAAACCCCCACCCCTAGTTAATAAACAGTCTAAATAGCATCCTAACCACTTGGTGAAGCTAATGACGCACAATTCGGCGTCTTTTGCATCACTCGCATCACCAAGACCCCCTAAAATTGAAAATACATGTTCATTACTTTCCGGACCGCCTCTTCTTTTTGCTCTCCCCAACCAGGCTCTGGGTTCACCCTACCCGGCACCCCCTATACTCACTTCGTTCGCCCATCGACAACTCCAGCCTAGCCTATCGGCTGGCTTCCATAATCTATATAGTATATGTATATATATATATATATATGTGTGTGTACATCATCTCCTAGCTGGCGCGGGTTCTGTTGCACTCTCCACGTACGCCCCTCAGCATGCTAAAGCTCAGAAAAGACACAGCTCTGACAGCGATGCTTCGTCCGTGAGACTTGACAGGTATGCGAACACTGAGCCGCGGCGGCTGGATTGGGTGCTTCGCTTGTCCAGTTGCTTTCCTTTCCGGGTGGCTTTGGAGAAAAGTATCCGAAGCACCAGCGGCAGAAGACGGTCTTTATTCTCAAACAGCACATTGGCAACATCGGCTTCTGCTTCGGCTGCTGACACATCGCGAGACGACAGGGAAAGGAGTTCGGTGCTGAAAGTTGCATCATCACAGAGTCTCTTCAGGGGTTCCTCACACTGTGAAACAAACGGGAACGACTCCTGGCACTTGGCAAGAACTGCCACGGCGAGCCGCTGAAGCTTGCTGTCTTCGAGCAATAGCCAATGAACGCAGGCATGTATGCATTGTTGAACCAAAGGTCTAGCACACCGTTCAATGCTTGGCATCGCTCCCACAACCTCTAATGCATGCACCATTGGTGTGTACGTTCCTTTGCCACTTAGGCCCTGCTCATAGCGGCGACACAAATGTTGCAAAAGCTTCGCCAAGAGCCAATCCTCGCGGGTAAAATCATGGGGCCAGGTTTTGCAGCAAAGTTTGTTTGATTACTGTCAGTTTAAAGTTTTGTTTGCAAACACTTTGCAGCACCCTGGTTCTCCTCATGATGCTGTCGCATAGTCGCCTCCCAAGGCTCCAATCCCTTTGACCAGAATCTTTGCTGAAGCAGTTTGGAGGCCAGCTGCCAAGCTCTCCCATGCATGGCCATCGCTGCCACACTCTGAGTGTTCCAAGAATCTCTTCCTGGGCAAGCAATAATAAAGCGCAGTCCAGAAAATACCCATATATGAGAATAGATAATGTAGATATACATATATATATATATATAATATGATTTAAACCGACCAGAACCGCAAGCTGAAACCATCTGAAAGCATACGACCACAGCATGACCATCGAAGGAATCCACCGCCCTGGCCTTTCCAAACATCATCCAAGGCCTTTCGCCAGTCGCTCTTCTTCCAAAGCTCTGTAGCCCAGGACTCCACCTCAAGTGGATCGAGTTGCTTCCGTGGTTGCCCTGTGGGGGCCATCCCACTCTCTTCACTGCGGGCTTCTTGAGCTGAAATCATGGCCACAGCGATGGACCAGGTCATTTCAGTCCACCACCAATTGTCATTTTCTGGGAAGTTCTGGTAGTCAGGTGGTCTCAGGAATGGCTCCAAATCCACTTCCGCAAAATCCAGCAGGCCAAATCTATTGAACCCTTCGCCTTTCGCTTCCCCTTCTTGGGCGAGCTTTCCGCCATCGTTGCTCTTGCCTGTGTCTCCAACGCCTGTCTTAGTTACACGTCGCTTCTTTCGCTTGGAAACAGTGCCCTCTGCAGCACGCTTCTTGTTCTCTGGATTCGCCTTTTGCCGGCCACTCTCCAGAAGTGCCTCTTGAGCTGGTGCCCAAAGCGTTGCAAGGCGCACAGAGAACTGACTTGCAAGGATTTGCATGGCCAGCCTTGACTAGTTCCACAGTTGAAACGTGCAAAAACAACTGCACTACATTACTACATATCCAATTGTAGTTTCAGCTCTCTTGACTAGCATGCATGATACAGTAAAGTGATTCATTGCCAAGCAGCATCGAAGCCCAGGATCGCCCCTTCAACGCTCTCCCAATGCGCCTGATCTGTTCAGACCGGCGTCTCTCATTGTGGAAGTCTGGTGGTATGTTCTCCAACTGCACGCAAAGCTCAAGCAATTGCAACGCATCGCTTCCAATGTTGGCTGTCTCTTCCGCCTGGCTATTCTCAAAAACCTCGCCACAATCCTCGCAGTTGCTGTGAATGTCATGTGGGACCATTGCATACCAGGGAAGGTTGAATTAAATTACAAACTAAAACAAGCTAAGCGTCTGGTCTTTGAAGACACCTGGCCAGAACACTCTGTGGCAGCAGCAATGCCACACGCAGAGCAGCCAATCTGATTTGAGCATGGGCCGACTGGGCAGCTTTCCAGCAGCAGGGCATGAGACCAAGGATTGCTTCAGATGTGTGAATGGTCTTGTTCGAAAAAGCATGGCTGACAGCCGCAAAGAGTGGTCCTGGTCCACTAGGCTCGGACTGTGCCCATGCAACTGCCCAAGCATCCCAAGTTTGCCCTTCCTCCGTGTCTTGCCCAGAAGGCCATGCCTCTCGCGGAGGTGCAGTGGGACCGTCTGGTACATGCAGGGAACTAATGCAGCAATCAAAGAAACGAGCCAGGAGCATTGCAGAAGAAGCTTTTGGCAGCAGCAGTGCCAAGCGGCTCGGCATGTTGGGATCTGAGATTGGATGAAGCTTGAGGAATCGCAAGAGTGCACCAGAGTATGCCATGGCCCCCGACAGCTGCAAAGGTTCCACTGAAGAGGGAGCCAAGCTTCCAAAACTGTCTAGCGTCTCCACCACATGTTTCATCTCTTCAAGCACTTGCTCAGGCTCGGCTTTCCTCCAAGTGTGCAACTGCGCTGAGCTAATGCAAAGCTCATTTGAAAGTCGCTGCTTCGTCTCACCGAGCATTAGGCCTGCAGCTGTAGCTGCGGAGAGTCGTGGCAGCAAATGCTCAAAACCTGGCAGCATGTCAGGTATCAAAGCCGCGCAGGCCAAGCTCAGACTTTCCTCGGTGATCCCAACTTTACACGCACACACACATATATTTATTTATTTGTTTATTTATTTATATTTATATACTTATTTCAAAAACACATGCACACTGAAACAAAACATGGCACCCAGCGACAACATACACTCAACCCCAACCGAGTTTCATCATTCCCACTCAACAGCAGTGCACTCTGAGCTTCAACGCTGTCAGGTCCTGCAAAAACAGCCGCAAGTTTATCATCACAGCAAGGTGCGACGATCGAGGGCATTGCACGCCAAAGTAGCAGCAAGGCCCGCTTTGCAGTCTCAGAGGCTGCCATGGCCACAGGTGGAAAGGCTAAGACCATGGCATTGGCTGCATCCAACAACGATTTTTCTTTGGCATTGGCTGGTGTCAAGTTTCCAGCTTCAACAATGGCACTCAAGCACTCCACTGCAACTGCCACAAAGGCCTGCCAGCTTTCACCGCAACAATCACGAGGCCGAGGCTTTGCATAGACCCAAGACACCACCAAATCAAGATAGAAAAGGACCTCCTGCTCCAAGTCTTGGTTGCTGAAAGGTCTTTCTATCGAATCTTCGCTTTCACTCTCTGAATCGTCGTTTCTTGGCTCTGAATCATTCGCGACATCTCTGCCTTTCGCTGCGTTGACATACCGAATCGAAACAGCCCTGAAATTGCTGAACATTACCTCCACAAGATCGGCAGCTGAATCAAGACTGCGAGCATGGTTTCGCATGCGCAGCACGGCCATACGGATGGCACGGAGTTGTGCAGCCCGTTGGGCTTTGGTCAAGCTTGCAGCAGTGACAGAATGCCGGACTCCCTTGAAAAGAGGAGTTAGGACTGCGATGGTCTTGCTGCGGAACTGATGTTGAACCCCCTTGACGGTCTTTGCAAAAAGCACGCTGAGACCATCTGCCATAAGATTCAATTCATGTGGATTTTCTGTGCTCCCAAACAGTTGGAAAGCATCAAACATTGCGGCCCGCATGCCGGCTGAAGGTATTCGACGGAAAACTAAGGCCAAGCTTTCTGCAGAGAAGTGCCGAATACGAATTTTCTTGTGTTTCAACAGAACTGCGTACTGGCCCAAATACTTCGGCAACTCACTAATCACGTAGCGCGCCCGGTATTTCAGTAGATATGTCAAACATTCCGATGCATGCTCTAGCAAATCTGCATCTTCCTGGCCAGTTCGGCCCGCGGCCGAAATGAGGTCGAGAAGCACTGGAAAGACCCGTTGGAAATGTGGCAGAATGTCAGCCTCCTCATCCCCAGCAAGCAGCCCCAATCGGGTCAGTATGACTTCAGCGGACATTGCTTATGGTAAAAGTTTTGAGCAAAAAATCGATAATGTCAGCATGGTCTTCCATGATTAGGCCCGCTACGCCTAAAACCAGCAGCCTATGCCTGGGCCTACGCCACATATGCCTGTGCATTCTTGCTGCTGACCAAAAACAACATACATCAATGCAGAACAGAACTGTGAAGTGACATCTCCAACACCTGGACACAACTGTGCGCTGCAACTACTGCTAAATGGCTACCAGGGCAAGCAATGCAGACTGTGCATGCTGCAAATTCAACGACCAACTGTGGGCTTTTTGAGCATGCATGGCTTCAAAATGCTATAATGGAGAAGCAGCAGCAGTGGTAGTCCAGCGGACAGAAGTGCTTTTGTTTTCCCATACAGTCACAACTCAGACTCTGACCTGCTGTGTTTCCACCTTTTCGATTGACGGGTTGGTCCCCCTTCCTGCAACAACTTCAAAACAGACCTTTCTTGAGCAAGGTCTACTGGCTTCTGTTCATTCAAGTTGGGTACGTGAGGCTCAGCTCTCAGTTCCAGCAGAGTTTGTACGACCTCAGCATGGCCATGGAGGGCGGCCCAGTGCAAAGGCATCATTCCTCGAACATCGACTTCGTGGATGGCACCTCGATGGGCACAACAAAGAGTATGGTTATAAATCATGTTTACTACGCAATGCTCCCGTAAGAGCTTTTGTTGGTAATTGGTAGCAATGGCAAGTGACATCCTTTCCACAAGGCGAGCTTAGTAACCAGGGGGAGTTCAGGCACCTCGATGAGAAGCAAGCTTCTTTAGCATGTCCACATGCCCTGTGGTAGCCGCCGCTGACATTGGTCCTCCACCGGCATCATTGGTGGTTGAGACATCAACTTGATGTTCAAGCAAAAGGCCTGCAACTTCAAGATGCCCCTGGGTTGCTGCCCATTGCAGTGGGGTTGCTCCTTCAGAATCATGCTCTTTAGGCACAGACACATGGCCAGCTAAAGCCCTCAGCACCTGGACATGTCCACTAAAAGCTGCCAAAAAGGTTGGTGTCAAACCCTCAGCATCTCGCTGTGTTGGCTCTGCCCTGGCCGCGAGCAAGTGTTCCACAACCTCTGGAAAACCATGGAGAGCTGCCCGGTGGAGTGGTGCATGGCCATAACGGCCAAATACCGAAACCAACTGCTCTCGCGTACTTGGAGCATTAGGATTCGCAAAGTTGTGCTTCAATGCTTTTTTGACAGCTGCAAGGTCGCCTCTATTTGCTGCGCGAAGCAAATCTGGCCAGGCCTCTGTATGACCTTGAGCCCCGACTGCCAAGCTGAAGTCACTGAGACTGCACGTTGCGTGCTCAACATTGTCACCAAAATAAAGAACTTCACCCTGATTCTGCACACAAAGGCTTATGCCAGTAGGGACTTGGTGGCCTTCAATGGTTTTCTGAATTGATCCACAAGGGTCATCCCAACCCTCAAAGCTTGAAGCTGCTAAAGCTGCGGAAGCCTTTGAAGCCAATTTGGGCAACCACCATGCTTTGATGCCGCTCAACAAGGCATGCCATGTTTCTGGATGATTGCCGTGTCTCGGCACAGAGCCACCGCTGACGCCAATAGAAAAAATGGGTCTTTCAGCAAAGTCTATTAGCAATTTTCTTCGAGGAGGTTTACGAGCACTTCGCCAAGCACGGCCAAACGCCCCTCGAAGGGTGTCAGAAACAAATATCATCTTGTCATTTCTTTTGGACTTTACATAGTCTGCTAGCTTTGGATGGGCATATCTGCCTCTGGTATTGTCAGCATAGAATGTCTCGTTCCCGTGGCGAGCAAGCACTTCCCCTTCGCCTGCAAACAGTAGAAGGTGCCCTTGAAGTCACCATTTGAAACAGTGTTCTCTGCGCAACAATAACCAACCAACACAGTGTCAAATTCAGATTGGACAGGTGCTGCCAAAAGTCGCCACTCTTCAAGCTCCTCTGCGTCAAACAAGCCTGTCAGCACCACACCTGTAAGGGACGGGATGCACAACTTAAAACTTAATAATAAGTTTGAACTTGAGACGTATATGAGGGAAGGTTTGGCAGAGTCGTAAGAATGACCGGCCTTCAGATTGATTCACAGAATGCATGAGCAAGGACGCTACTAGGAGCAAAGGGCATCGCTACTAGGAGCAAGAAGCTACTAGGGGCTCCTGGCCATACTACTAGGAGCAAGGACGCTACTAGGGAACATTGAGAAGACATGTGCCATGAGAATTCTTGAAGTGCACCTGTTGTGCGAGCCTGCACTCCCTCGATGACCAGCTGCATTGAAGGCCGCCCAATCCATACCACGCGCATTTACACGTGGTATGTCGCAGCGGTGTAGCAACGCCATTGCCACGTCACGATTGTTCATTGGAGCAGTCTGAAAAGTCTCTCTCTCTCTCTCTCTCTCTGGTGGGCATGACTCGGAGTCGTCTCACGGAGACGCCCAACTAGGCCGGAGACCAAGGGGGGTTGCACATGTTCAGTTCTCAATTTTCCTCAACATGCCTTGGTCTTGTCTAAGCAATTGTGAAACGTTCCATACAGCTTCACTGAGTCTTAGCTGGCCCTCAGCACAAAAAGTTGCAAGGAGACTTGGTCACTGCAGGCATACATTACAATGTGATACAGTGATACACACGTAGAAGCCTGTCACTTTTTGCACGTGGATGCTGATCGTAAAACTGCGATCCCAGCTCTTCGATCGCCAAGACTTGTGAGACCTGCTGTTCAAGTCTAGAACACTTCTTCATGTAGCTTTTGGAGCAGAGCCAGGTGGCTTCAAGACCTCAAAAACCAGCTTCTAGGCTGACCATGCTCATGTGCCTTCTACTTATCCATGGCATGGATGTCACTAGTTCGCCTTCTACCATCTGGCTCTTTGAGCTGGCGTGAATGAGCTGATATGCCTCAGCAAAAAGGGACAAGAGTAGGGCCGGAGCCAATGGAACAACCCTGCTGGAAATTCCACATGATTCCGATCTCAATCTCAACTCCCAAAAATCATCTATATGTATGTATATACATATACATATCCATACTATAGGATCTATAGCAAAGCTAAAAACAGGATAGGACGGACGGGTCCATCTCACCTTTTGCATAGCCAAACACAAGCAATGCCTCAAGGATTCTATGGGCCTAGAGTCTATAGGCAAAACAATAGAAGGGCACATTGTATTACCGGCAATTGTCAACATACGTCAAAACACTGTAACACAATCCACTCTACTTTGTGCTATCCCCGCCCAGGCCACGTCGCATGTACATGGGTGGGATGGATGGGGCCACTGGGGCACACACACACAACACACCTGGTGAGATGACTGGGCCAGGATTCACTCCAAACACAACTCAGCACCCTTTGGTCAAACACTTGTGTGAGGTTAGACAACCCGCTATATGCGCAAGTGCGTGTGAACACTACATAAATACGTAATAATACGTAAACATAATACAACAGTCAAACCGAACTAATTCGAGCCGGCCCTTGTATGGCATCAAGACAAATTGCGTTTCAAATTCAACTCAAAAGGTCAAGTTTCCAGAAACATCTAGGAACCAAATCATTCCTTGAAGAAGCGTGAGCTATCCTGCGTCCAAGATAGGAGCTTCCTTGAAGAAGCGTGAGCTATTCCTGCATCCTAGCTAGGAGCTTCCTATTGCCAGTAGCGACCTATTGCTAGTAGCGAACTACTCCCTTACTCAATTGAGTAGGGCTAAAAAGAAAAGACGGGAACTTTCCAAATGGAACTGCGGATCAGGCCTCTGTGTGAAAAACGGGATAATCGGGCCCAAGTTCCAAAGATGTGACGGGCTGCCACTAGTGCTTGAGTATGATTCAGACTGCAAAGAGCTGGGGTTTCCTCATGTTTCCCTGGCTTACCACCAACCATGCACAACGTGACGTTTGACAATGGTAAAGCCGAAGCTCAACTGTCGCAGCAAAAATCATGGCCCATGAAACTGGAAAGAGGTGCGATGACGCTTTTAAGGATCTTGCGTCTCAAGATATGAAAAATTGTCCTTGGAGTCAAAAAGGGTTGAGTTGCGTGGATATAGCTTAGCACTATGTCACTATATAATCGGCACTAAGTAATACTGTAGCCCGCGATGGTTGAATCAGTTTGATCTTCATCTGGTCTGGCCATTCAACCATTTGACTTTATGGTCAAAACAGTGTACCTAAAATGTTGCATCTAGCTGCCCAAATCCGGTATGAAAAAATGACACGAAAAGAACTCTCACTCATTCGAGTCACTTGTACCACCGCGCCACGTGTGGAAACTTCTCCGAGGAGACACTGTTCGGGACTGCAGCCTTGCACATGAAACGTGTCAAGGACTTTCAGTTCGAAGCGGGCAAAGCAACCAGCAAAGGACCAAAAAGGAAACGCCACAACGAGCAGTACTGGGAGGCCAAGCGCTCCGAACAAACAAATGACCCTTTTTCTTTTGTCAATGTGTAATTATTCATTTGTGTTTTGGGGGGGGGTGTCGCTACTAGTGGTTTGGTAGCTAAGTAACTCCCTAGCATGCTTGGAGGCAGAAAAACCATACAGTAGCCTACTTGCAAGTGTCCACGCTTGTCTGAACCCCATGTTAGACCTAGGCTGCCGAGCCAGCTGAGCAGCATCTGCCTGGCACATGTGGGCTTTGACATGTAGCCGCAGAAGGATTTCAAACTAACGAGAAGGATGCAAAACTAATGAGGTTTCGAGACATCAGCAAAAAACGGAGAACGAACAGTTTGGCCTGCGAGGGCTGGTAGCCACCATCAACATAACTCCTCACAGCATGGTCAAGCTGTGCGAGCATAATGTGCATGTCAGAAACGTCACAAGCTTTTCTACGGCCATGCCCTTTCATGCTTCTTGTCTCTCTCAATTCTCGTAAAGAATTGTGAAAAGTAATCTCGGGGACGCGGAAAAAAACATGCACATTCAAATTCAGAATCAACAGAAAAAGCATGAAAAAGCACCACGATGATGGCAATGACCACAACAGCCACCACCGCAACGACTACCACCATGAGTTGACAACAAAGTCCAAGAACAGGGGCAATGCAACCCCCCGGGACTCTCTCAAATCCTCGTACTCAGGTGATCGTTGAGCTTATTGATGTCAGCGATCGTGGAGGCCTAAGTGAATGCCACGGAAAACCTCCAACAGCCCTAAAGAGCCATGAAGCGTCAACCCGTATTTTTGCCTGAGCAGCGGGAGGCGCGTTTCCATTTGTCTTTCCAGGCTTGGCTTCCTAAGTAGCCAATCGTTTGAACGCAAGATTCTCGTCGCTGGCTTGACGATGGCCAAGGTTAAAACGGCCTTTGCTTTGCTGCCACCGCCTTTGCCTCAAAAGTTCTCAGCGCGGTCAGTTTGCATTTGTTGTTGCCAGAGAAGATTGTGGGCAGTCACGAAGCCTCCTCCCTCAACTATGAAGTGGATGCCTGGCTTGCCAGGCCTCGTCGCACCATTCAATCCAGGAAAATCGACCATCATTTACATAATCTGGTGGATACTGTGATCTTCTTGCGACTGAGGCCTTTTGATGCTGAAGACCCTTTGGTTACCTGGTTGGAACAATCCACCACTTGGGTTTATGGCTGTGCATTTGCTGCCGCGTCCTCGCGTGCAATTGTTTGCTCCAGTTGAGCACTTAATTGTTTGACACACTCGTCTGGATGTCACATGATGTGACATGGAAGTGCTCCTTATGGTCAGGGCTGGCCAAAGAGTCAGCTGGTCGCACCTCCACTTCGGCCTGCCCCATCACAAACTCAAAGGCTTTTTGAAAGATGTGGGAACCTGCCTGTAGCTTCTGTCGGAGGTACGCAACCTCAGCATGAGCCGCGCAACTTCGGAAACTCCCTCTCTCTCTCTCTTCTATACATAATATATATATATAATACTGTGTTTTTATCGCTCTATACTTTTATATGTGTGTATTATATATATATGTATTATATATCTATATATGTGCGTGTGTGCAATATATATGTATGTATACACATGTGTGTAAAGCACACAAGTACATACGACCCCGAGGTGTTGGCGTTCTCGGAGACCAAAGCAAGCTCATCAAATGGTAGCGATGCATCGAGCGCACTCTTGCCAAAGGAAGCTGCCTGCAACAAGGACTGCTTCTCCCGGATGGATATATAAGCATGTGCTCTATGCAAACTTGGAGGTTAAGGGATTGTGTAATGTTCCGTATGCCATATGCCGCTTTGGAGACTTGCACATGATGTGACAGCCTGCCGGTGCACAACATGCTGGTACCCCTGAAAGTTCAACCTAAGGAGAAGAATCCCCTAATTGACTTCCAGGAGATGTTATACAATCCAACACGCCCAATACTGTGAACTTTCAGGCCAGGATACGCACATGAACATGAAAAACTGCCACGGCCATGAATATTCATTCCAGCCTCGTCCCGCTTGAATGCAGCGAAGGGCCCCAAATGCTTGCCAAATGGCTTCAAAGAGGCGTCCTCACAGCAACTGTTCATGCAACACATGTGAACATGGCCCCGGATGTTTTCACCTGCATGAGCTCCGTCATGATATCCTTCCACTGTTGGGCAGCTTCTGGGTTGGCTTTCATGTCTTCCTGTTATGAATCGGCAGTCTCTTCTGCACAAAGTTACTTGTGCCAGGTGAAATGAATTTGGCTAAGCAAACCTGGGCAACCAAGGGCAGCTTGTTGGCAGCATGGTGATTCCTTGGGATCCCACAATATGGCGACAACGTCTTGGCAGATCTTTTGACAGAACTGCCCCCCTTCTGTCTTACTGCCCTTTGGAAAGCAATGAGTCAGGCTGACGAGCTTATAATAAGAACAAGACCGCACTTGTTCACAAGCAAGCAAGATTGATTGTGAAGTCTGGAAGAAGCAACGTGCAACACAACAAGGTACATCACTAAAGGCAAAGCTGTGTTGGAACCCAACCGAAGTATAGTATAGCAGAAGGAACTAGAAATGAAACCAAACTGTGCTCGCAAAGCCTTACTCAAAGTACTTGATCACGAACAGCTTGAGCCATCCGGTCACAGGTAGGTGACTGGTAAGCCCTGGGCTCACCTAAAACTATGTTGCGACAACAGCCCGCCATGTGATGCTAACAAACACCACTTTTGTGAAAAAACCGCTCTGGGACGTCGATCGCAGGCGGTAGCTTGCAAATATGTAGTAGGACCTTTCAGACACATTTCGGCAGCAGTGAGCTGCCATGGAAATCATGCGAAAAGCAAATTTGTAGTACAGCAAAACGTGCACAATGTTTGGGCACTCTTTCTGGTGCTACAGGAGTGGAAATCACACAACGCAGCGTAATGGTGAACACACAAAAACCGTGCATAAGAAAGTGCGTGAAGAGCTTGCTGGTGGCGACCCATCTAGTGGAGCCATTCTTTTGAAAAGCCACATGGGCTTCTGGACTTCATGGTCGCTCAGCTGAACGAGCAGTGGAATTGTCTATGAAAAGCATCAGCATCATTGCACTTCAAGAAGTGCACTCTTTGTTCATTGAACTTCAATGCACACTTTGTGAATTGCACCTGCGTTGAAGCGCAAGAGCAATTATGTCGGATTGCGTAAGATGGCAAATGAAATTTCAGCCTGGACATGCCACTGGTGAGTACATTACACATGTGCACAGAGAGAGAGAGGGAGCAGTTGTCGAGCCCGAGGCGGGCTTCAGTTTTCAGCACCAAATGTTTGCAACTGTTCAGTTGTCCTCAATTGATGAAGGCCTTCAAAGGCCAAAGGGCTTGCGACTTGAAGAGCCCAAATAGAAACTGTGGCACTCACAGAGACCAGGACAGATGACGAAACGGCGACCCATGCTACTCCTCGAATCCCTTGCAGCCGTTACATGGCCGGCTTGAATATCAGTTCACATCCATGGAGCACCCTGCTTACACAATGCTGATAACATGCCTGATATGCAAGAATCAGAACAACAATCATGAGAGCACTTAGTGAAAGTTAAATACCTAGGATGTCCTAGGACATCTTGCCAGTGTGTGCTTTGCTAGCAGGGCCCCCCCTTGCTCCATGCTCTGAGGACATGGCGACAACTTTGCCAGCACTGTCCTGGGAGGAGCAAATGGCATCACAAGGCTTCATTGGTCCATGCTGCTTCAGGAATGCATACCTTCTGCTAAACAAGAGGCTTCTTCCACTCAGGGTACTCCTGCCACACAGAGAGAGAGAGAGAGAAAACACGAATCTCAGCAACTCCGCTGCAAAGCTTAGCACAAGGCTACAGGCAAAGTGCCAAATCTTGATTATGCACAGCGGGCACCTTCGCGACATAAACCACAGCGGATTTCATGGTTCCTCCCTTGGAGGCTTTCTCCAACCTGAAGAAGCAACAATGCAAACTGAAACTTTACCATGGACTTCCACTGCTCAGGCCAGGGCAGCTTGATGAAGTCATGAGGAACCTCAAGGCTTGGCGGTGTGTCCAATTCTGGACTGCATCAGCTTGTGGAGAAGCTATCAGACCTTGTTGAACATGTAGTCCCCTTGCTTGGTGAGAGAGGTTTCCACAGGCTTCGTGGGCTCAGGGAACCTGAAGCTGTCCAGACTTGAAACTCGAGGGAGCGGCTCCCGTCCCTTTCTCATCCTTCCTCCGCATTTTAATCAGTTCCTTGTGATTGGTCCATTGGTGCCTCCAACCTAACAGCTATGGCCTCCAACCTAATGTAAAATGAAATAGCTTTTTGTTACTACTAGTAAGGCACCTGTTACTACTAGCGTGGCACTTGTTACTAGTCTTCTCGCTTTCAATTCGCCTCGCATCCAGGACAGAGCCCGACTTGCCCAAGACAGTCGACCAACCATGTTCGCAGAAGTGAGGGCCTGGAGATTCAACTTGACCAAGAACGTTGTGTTTGTCGTTTACATTTCGGCTTGGAAGACTTGGGCTGCAACAAATGGGCGAGAGGACGATCATCTGCCACTCCAAGTACCTGTCCCCAAGTGGGTCTAACGTGGAACGCGCACACATATAAAAATAACTGCATGCAGTCAAATCTCTCTATTTTTGATAATCTCACACGTGCCTCATGGTCAAAGCTTTGTTTGGCGCCATGCCTGCAGCCTTGCAGATGTCTCGATACCTCACCCCAGCATTTTTCTGCAAAACGATGGATCCAATCAGAGCATCATCATCACATCCAAAAGCATTTAACCATACAGGTTTCGTCAAGTTGGCTGGGGAGCTGGTCAAACATGGAGGTGAACTCGAAGTAGCACGTGCGGAGAGCTTCTCGATAGTACCTGCTTTTCTGCTCAATTGGAAGGCAATTGACACCCTGCCAAAGGGGCACATGGTTTCGTAGAACTTCTTACCCTCTTGCCTCAAAAGTCTGCCAGTGCTTCCAGGCTTTATCCGAAGACTTGCTTCACAATCGGAGGGCTTGGGATGTAGCGACTTCCGTAATGCAAAGTCGTAGATGCAGGTTTGGGGTGCTCAAATGTTCACTATTTTTGCTGAGTGACACCAAGCGATTGATCTCGTTTGCAAACCACACATCGACAAACCGGGCGTTCTCTGCTCCTCGAAGAACGGTCAACAAAAAGCCAATGTTTGCAAAGGGGTGCCGCTTTCTGGGAAATAGCCCACCTGTGTCAAGCAGTTCGTTGCCGCTGACCAGCGATTTCATGAGGTCCAGAAAAACTGCCAATGTCAGCACCGCTTTGTTGCCTCGACTGAGTTGAAATGGTGTCCGGAATGGCCTCCAACCTAATAGCGTCCTTGCTCCTAGTAGCGATGCCAGGAGCCCCTAGTAGCTTCTTGTTCCTAATAACGTCCTTGCTCCTAATAGCGATGGCCCCAGTTTTTGGACACTGCCAATCCCACGCTCATAATCTGTATTATACATACATATTTTAAAGGTGTAATCGCCCAGGAGGAAACATATGTTGGATGTTTTGTACAGTACACTGTGTTGATTTGTGGGCTTTACATAGTGCTTCTGGTGATCTCCAAGTGTGTCTGTGACACGCGTTTTTGTGCTTGTGTACATGCACGTGCATATGCATCAACTTGATTTTTCCCCAACTAAGAAGCTGATGTGTTGAATGGCGCTTGCATCTTGAAGCTCGACAATTGTGCTGCTCTGGAGCCGGGATACAAACCGATTGGTCAAAGTTGGCAGGCTCCAGAGTATCTCCAGAATTTGCCATAGCCAGCCGAACTGTGTCCGCGGAGTACCTGCATAGCTCCCAAGCCATATGTTTTGCGGCCGCCCTTCACAGCCAAGCTCAAAAGCAACAAGGCACAGTTTGATAATCTCATCAACGGTGAAGAAGTTTCCTTTCGACTTTGACATCTTTTCCTCAACAAGGCTACATTTTGAGAATGTCGTGGATTGTGAAGAAGTTGCCCTTTTGCTTGGCCATCTTTTCCTCAACTAACAAAGCAGTCTAGAGTTGGCAGAGTGTGTAGGTAATCCTGTATGTTTTTAGATGTGTTTAGCCTCAGCCTCCATACGCCCTGTAGTAATGGCCACAGTCAAGAGCATTGAGCTGTTAAGGCATGGTCATTGTTCACCAGCAGCCAGCCGTTGCAAAAGAAGCTTTTGGGCCAAAGGTCTGGCTCCTTCTCCTCAACGGCGGGGATTGTAAGGAGGTCAAAGTGGTGCCTGTTGACGTGGAATCTGTGGCTCCCCGGCCCAAACACAGGCATGGTTGTAAAGAGCCTTGCATCATGCAGGACTTTTGAAACTCTCCACGGCACCAAGTGCTGTGAGCACCCTCTAAGCTGCAGGCCATTGTCAAATGGTTTTGAATCAAGTCTTTGCCAGAGACACGCAGGTCCATAGGATACCAAAACCTGGAGTTTAGTCTGTTTTGACTTTTGCAGCGAGCACGATTGGTTCTAGATCATGGCCTGCACAAGTTCAACCCACTTCAACCCACTTGTGCCTGAACTCCTTCTGCATTTTCTCCTCCACGGAGAATTCAACAATGCATCAATGCATGGCATACTGAAGGCATCGGAAGCAACATGTCTCCAGAAGCTTCTGTGGAATCTTGCTCTTCTTGGGCAAGGGCCTCACATCAAAGGCTCTGATGTACTTGAACAAATGTTTGACGTTAGTAAGCTGTCGTGAGATTTCAAAGTCAAAAGACAGGCTTGGAGCCCAACCCGTTCAAGAACACAAAGTCCCATACTTCGTCCGTCAAGTCCTCTGCCTGACAAACTCATGAACAACCCTTGAAACCCTACTAGGCTCAGATCGAAGAACGTCCAAGAAACTGGGCAAAGAAGACCAGTTTCATTGCACAAAGCATTTCACCTCACCTTGATCTTTTCTGGGCTGCCTTTCTTGCCGTCCAGGTTCTCCTGGTTTCACTACAGGGCAACGCGAAGAACTCGAAGTACTGCGGCAGATGTGCTGACCTCTCCATGCAGCAAATGGGCAACTGTGTAGTAAGCCATGTAGATGGTAGAGTCCGACCTCAGAGCTGTGCGAATGTTCACATGCAATGAAACACAATCTTGGAAAGGCAGGAGTGCATAAACTCTGACATCTTGATAATTTGGTGTGTGTGTGTGTGCGTGTGCGTGCATCCAGGGGCATGACAGGGACTCAATGACGAACTGCTCATCCCAGGGAACCTGCAAGAAACCATGCTCAAATCCAAGCCAGCTACAAAGCTCGCCGGCCTGTGTGCCCAAGCCAAAGGAACCTTGATAATGCGATGCGAGGCACAAACCCGTCTTTGACAAAGGGAGGTGGGCAAACTGGCAAAGCATAGACCACAGAGACACCGGCGGCTGCATGCCCACTCCTTCAACCAGCCAATGGCATCTTCGAATGACTCCTGCAACGGGCATTAAATTTCACGACTTAGCCCAAAACCGGTTGGCCCTTGGCAGCAAAGTGTGATGTCCTTGATGCGGTCATTGTAGCCTGAGCCACTGCGGCAAGAAAACATGTGTGCAACGCCACTCTACCCCACTGGCAGCCTAAGAAGTGATATGCAAAAAAATGCAAACATATAAACTTGAGCATGAGTTCGTGGCCCGAATCTCACAACAGAAAGCGTTGGCTGTCCAACTTCGCAACAACACTAGTTCAAACATTGCTTGGTGGCATCTCTTGCAATGTGCTGCCATGTCACTCACGAAGTTGGAGCTACGAAGATGGCCCTGGAGAGAAGTCTATTGTGAATCTATTCTCCTCTTTTGCTATGTCTTTTTCTTTTCTATTTTTCTTAGAACCTTTAGACTGTTCTGTCATTCTTGGCATGTTCTTGCTTTTTCCGCCTTTGAACCATTTAGGAATCTGTTCCCACTTAAATCTTCACTTCGGCCCGTTTGACTTCAACACCAGGGTGGATGCGGCATCCTTGCACTTGGAAATCAGGGTTGACATGGTTTAGTCATGCTGCTTTTGGCCCAGCACCTAGTCACCAAAAGCACGCATCTTGTCCTGGTTGCGTGTGCATGCTTGTTTGTGGCCAGGTTAAACAGGAACAGGTAGAGCTTAGAACAGAAACTTTTGGGGTCAGCAAGCGGCAGTTCCCGCGGAAATCTGCTGGCCGAATCGCCAGCGTGTTTTGGGAAGGAGGGATTGTTCGGTAGTGTTTCCTTTCATTGGCTTTCACTTCCTTTCTTTGCCCATGTCATTGCAATTCCTTTCATGAGCTTTCATTCTGCTGTTCGCTATTGGGGCTCCTGGCATCGCTACTAGGAGCAAGGACGCTACTAGGGGCTCCTGGCCGTACTACTAGGAGCAAGACGCTTTTTTTCATTCTGCTCCTGTTTCCTTTTCCATTTTCCTTTTCGTCGTTCCTTCCCTCTTCCCTTGCCTCACCCCAGCTTCCCCATGACACAAACAAGGCACTTCCCACCTTGATTGCGTGAGGCCGGAACCCTAACCCATAAAGCCTCCAACCTAACAGCAATGGCCTCCAACCTAAAGCGATGGTCTCCAACCTAATAAGCTCAAAATAGATTAGTCACATATGCAGGAGGTGTGACAAGCCAAGGGTCATGGGACCATGGGTCATGTAAGTCAAGCAAACAAATCCACGGAGGATGAGGTTCCAATTCAGCTGCTAGATGTTTACAGTAAATGGAAAACAACACCGGCCCACCGCTTCAAAGAAAAGCTCATGCTAGCGCTGCTGCAGATCGGCGATATGATTGCCCCTACCTCGCCTCAATCTGCCCGCGCCAAGTCTCCTCCCCATACTTCAAATACCACCTTGGCTTGGATCAACTTTGCGCCCATGCAGGAGGCGCCAAACTTGGAGCTGGACTGGTCAATTGCCGCAACCACACACTCATCGCCCGAGCGTGAGACAACCTTTTTTGTGACCCGAGCAGCTTACATAGGACATGTCTCACATCACACGCACACGTATATACATATATATATATATATAACATCAACTGCGCCCTCCTTCTTCTCTGGCTCGTAGTAGGTGAAGGCCTGCTTTGCTTGAATCATGACCTTAGCTTAGCCAGCTTCTGTGGCTTTCGCATCCAAAATAAACTTCACAAAATTGTCGGTAGCAACCGGAATCGTACTGTCCACACGCTATTTTCACTGCGAAAGCGAGCACGGTATAGCTCAAGGGCCCTAGGAGC